TTCAAAGTTTTCCAGGGGAGCATGCCCCCGGACCCCCCTAGAGGTTCGTGCCTTACGGCGCTGAAAGGGCTCCCATTTTCCTCGGGCAGCAGCCTTGTGACAGGGAACAAGCAGTTGACCAATAGAGTAGTCACATGATAACATTGTAAAAAGTATTGCAACGTATTATACAAGTGGTTTAATGGGCGAACAAAAGTACAAAAGTGTTAGACTGGTGCTTTCAATGGGATCAAATGAAAGTAAACCATGGAAAGAAAAGAACAAGCATTTCAATTTGTAAAGGCTGTAAGGTCCCAAAGCTCCTCACTTATAGTAACCTTGTAGAATTGTTCATGAAATTGACCCATAGAAACTGAAAACCCAGTGAATGGTACATATAGATAATTAAGACAACACCTTCCAATGCTTGCCAAATGGTATCTTTCTAGGAATATAAAAGAAAGCTTGAAAGACTTTACAGAATCAACAGGCACTTTTCAAATTCCTCTCGGTGGTGACAGATGACCATTTGGCAAAAATGAGAGTTCATGTTCTTTCTCGGTTAGTTTCCTCAATTTCTGTAAAATGGTGGCATCAAGTTGTGATAACTTTCTAATTTTTGGTACCTACTCTGATGAAAGCTCTCTTGTTATAAGGAAATATGTGAGATCGTTAGTTTTTATATCCTCAACTTTGGAGAATGTTTCTAGCGAGAAAAAAATCGTTTAGACCAAGTTGCACTCAAAACAGCAAAATCGAAGTGAAACTGGTTTTGAAACATATGTAGTATACTTGACGTGTAGAGCTCTTCTTATGGGCAACTTTTTAACTAATCTTCATCTGTATTTTTAAGATAGACATGGTGGCAGTGATATTTGACACCGATGAAAGTCTTCAAGACCTGGGACTTACAGCAAAAGGCGATATTTTTGCTGTTAAAGCATTTTGCAGTGCCAATCAAAAATGTATCAAAATGTAGAAGATGATTATGAAGAGAGAAAGAGGAAACTTGTTGAAGAACTCAAAATAGGCAGGGACAAATTGAAATCTAGGAGAACAAAGACAGCTAGTGGTAATAGCCATCCCAGGAATAATACCTCTGAACCACAGAATACAGTAATGAAAGAGAGTGTAAAGAAGAGAAAGGCTCTTGGTTGGACGCATTTTTCTACAAAAGAGAAATAGTTTATAAAAGTGTAACTAACCAGTGGAGGCGGCACCCATAGGGTTGATGTATCAGGTCACTCTACCAAAGAAGACCTTATAGCAGAATCCCAAAAGCTCTTGTTCCCAGGGGGTCTTTTCACTCACAGAGAAGAAAAGGAAATTATTTCATAGGTACTGAGATTTACCCACAAAAATCGTAGTGAATAAAATTCGTACTGATTTTAGATGTAGCCAATCAGGAGTACGAACAACAAAATTTCACCGTGAAAAATTCTCGTTCATCCAATCAGCAACGCGAACGACGAAATTTCACTAATGATGAATGAACGTACTGAAGAGAACGTCATGCGAGTGCCGTTGCACAAAACCCGCACGCTTTGAAAAATGGCAGAGGGAACGTTCGCTTCTGTTTACTCAGTTGAAGAATTCATTTTAGAACACGAAAACAAAAATACCGCTCAAAAAACTGAAAGAGATGTAAGATTGTAAGATGTAAGGATGTAAGGACGAAGACAGGAAAATTGAAGATATTCCAGCGGCTGAGTTGAATGAATTCATTAGCGAATTTATTATCTTCGTACGCACTAAAGATGGCAACGAGTACAAGCTGACTTTGCTTTGAAGTTTAATGGCCAGCTTCGAACAACATTTGAAGAAAAAGGGCTATTCTGCCAGCATAATCAACGACTTGGTCTTTGAGAAAATCAGAAAAGTTCTTCAATCCAAGCAAAAGCAGCTAAAGAAGCAAGGAAAAGGGAATAAACCGAAAGCATCGGTAGCTTTGACAACCGAAGAGTTAAAGATATTGTACGCTTTTCATCGCCCCATTTGTGCTATTTGTCTACCAAAGACAACACGAAAAAATCTCAGCACCTCTGAAATAAAAACATTAGAGCATGGAAAATGCTTTGTACGATTTTCATTCACTCATTGATACGTATCAGAAAACTCACTCATTCGCTGTGCTCACTCGTTCGTTTTCTGATACTACACAACTCGTGAATAAAAATTGTACGCGCGCATTTTCCATGAAGTAATCTCTATTTATTTTTTATCTGGCCAATTTTAAAGCGGAGCCTATCAAAGAAGTTATTGAAGATGGAGAAACCACAGTTGACTCCACTGTCAAGAAGTATATTGAAAAACACAAACTGAGCTTGGCAAGATTGTATTTAGCATCAAAGCCTTCATCTCTCTTTACTCTCACTGATGTGGCTTGTGATGATGATGCCAATCTCAATTCACCAACATTTGAGTTTGTGGAGTCATCGAAGCCTGAGAAATGTCAGCAAGACAGGGGCAAGGCATAGCACCTGAAGTATGCAAACCTGGATGAAGATACATTTAAACTGGATGATGCATCCTTCAATTCTGTCTCTCATGCCTTCCCTTGTTGCAAAAGTGCTGACTTGGCATGGTTAGGCCAATCTCTCAACATATACCAGACAACTCACCACGGCTTGTTCTTCATTTGTGTTCATCATCCACTACAAACATACGAACATGACGACCCAACGCTAAGGACACCATGTTGATTTTGAAAGTAATTGTCACTAGTCCTCCCTCCTCTGAAGTCAGAGTAAAAACATGCAAACTGTTTCACTTTTTATAAAAAAGGACAAAAGACCTATTTACAAAATTTCTGTGTAAATATATAAAATTCAAATAATGTCAATTATGGAATTTTAATTACAGTAATTAATTGATATATTCATTTGCTATCTAGTAACTATTAAACTGAAGGTAC